ACATGATCGGGACACCATCAAAACATGACCGGGACACCGTCACAACACGACCGGGACACCATCACAACATGACCGGGACACCATCACAACATGACCGGACACCATCACAACATGACCGGGACACCATCACATGACCGGGACACCATCACAACATGACTGGGACACGATCAAAACATGATCGGGACACCATCACAACATGACCGCGCCACCATCACATGATCGGGACACCTTCAAAACATGACCGGGACACCATCACAACATGACCGGGACACCATCAAAACATGACCGGGACACCATCAAAACAGGACCGGGACACCATCACAACATGACTGGGTCACAATCAAAACATGATCGGGACACCATCAAAACATGACCGAGACACCAGCATCACATGACCCGGACGCCATCAAAACATGACCGGGACACCATCCGCCCACCAGCTCTGACGGTGACCCGACGGCGCCCGTCCGCCTATTAGTTTTGCAAGACCCCATAGCATGGCTATTGGGGAAAAATGCAAACATGCCATTAATATCATGTCCTCAAAAGTCAGACCAAGCCTGCTCAACTTACACATGTATCCAAATCCATCCAACCTCGATGGGATCCTGGGTTGTGGCACCTGGGGATCCTTGCAAGGAGCTCCAAAAATGAAATAACTGTATAGGCCAAGAATACCGGGAAAAAAAGCACGGCGCACGTCAATATGCCATTGGTAAGGGTGGCCAATGTGGACCTGCGGTCCTGCGCTCAACTGGGATTGGAAGCGTGGGTCAATGCTTTCGAACCGTGTCGTGTCCTCCCAAACCTGCCCTCCCCACAATGTGCTGCTCAGTGACTGATGACATGGAATCAATACAATCAGTGCAGCCGTCCCAGGTTCCTGGGTTGATGTCCTTCACTTCCTCCAAGGAAAAGGAGGGATGCAAGAATATCTTCCAAAACGAAAAGCTGCCTCAGAAAAGATCGCATGCAAGTACACTTCATGGCCCATGCATCAGCAACATGTTCGGCGAAAACTATAGTCGTCTGCCTCCAAGCCCTGAAATGAAACACTTCGCAGGCCTATCCTAGACGTCCTAGATCTGTCTGTGTCTGGACGACATACCGGCGCGACACATGACTCTATCTTCACTTCGTTCCCATCGTAACCCCGGCGTTCCGGTCCTTCACCAAAGGGTTCACCAACTCGACCATGAGCATGGCCCATCCCGTCATCACAACGAAGCACATCAGGAAACACCACGCTAAGGTGCGGAAGCAAGTGGCCTTGGCTGCTCAAAGCTCATCAAAACTCCAATTTGCAAATCCAAATGCAAGAAACCCGTGCTGTCAGAAAGGGGCCGAGCTATGGTCTCACAACGTCGTGGGAAGTGCTCTTGACCTATGGCGACGAAGGCAATAGTCTCCCTTGAGCAAACCTCATTCTGAGTCATAGCCATCGTTTCAGCAGCGGGAAGGGAGAAAAACAAGGTGCAGTTTCTAGGTTTCCTCATGCCAGGCGATGTCTAAACCAATGTCGAGCGGCCATCATCATGGAGAGTTTGTACAACCTTGGCAGCAAAACTTCCAACACATGAGGCGTTGGAATTTAGAAGACTGGACCCTCCCTCCGTGGCCCTGGAGAAGAACCTTGGCATGCTGTGTGTGGTTCCTTGAACCAATCGATCCAATGCTAGCCAGCTCAGTGCTTCTCAAACGAGTCGGCATGTTCCAACTCGTTTAGCACCGAAAAGGGCCAGGCCCCCACAGCACAGTTCTGAAAGTAATTGCAACCGTCGGTAAGTGACGGTAAGTGTGTACACCAGGAGTCGCAAAGGGGTGGTTTTCAGTCGCTAAGTGAGTGGATAATGGGCACCCCTATCCTCCAATAGGCACCCCTTCGTGACTGCAGGTGTATATATATATATACACAAGTATATTGCAATATATATATATATACACGTACTTAAGCCATCGCAAGTCATGCAATATGATTAATTGCACTGACCATTCTTGTGAGACGCCAACTGACGCTTGGATCCCGTACTGCCCCCCTGAAGCATCACAAGTCATTTGCCATGTAATGTATAAATATGTATACATATCACCTAGAAGTTGAGATCCAGGCTGCTCTACACACAAACAGGCTGGTTCATGAATAACCCTTAGTCATGGTGATTTCGCCGTGGTAAAGGTAGTGGCAGTGGACCGTATTGGTACGGGTGGCTGTATTCGTAATTCTCGTAGCAAATTCTCTTGGTAGAATGCCATGGGCAGCAGCAAACCCTTCAAGGGCCTACCTTCGTTCTCAAGCAAATATCACCAACTGAAACCCGCCAAACCCGCCCAGCTGGCCATTCCAAGGTGCTCACGAAGTCCTCGAATACGCTTGAGCAAGCCTCGGAGGTGCTCACTTTGGGAGGTGCGAACCGTGGCCCGTGGCACATCTTTCTTGGGTAGGTTCAGTTTATAAGTTATAGGTGTTTGAACGCTATTAGAAGATGCAGACCGAACATGATTATCGCATCCAAGTCTACAATACCAAAGCTCCCTGAACATTGGTGAGGCGAAACACGTTCCAAACATGTTGGCACTCTGAACCTACAAGAGCCGCAGATCGCTCTGCGAGAGTATCCCGTGAAAACTCCTCCCGGGTGGTGCAGCATCGCAGCCAAACAAACCAGCAGTTAACCCACGGTATCCCAGTGATAGTACTCTATCACGAGGATGACTCATGCTCCACGTAGTGTGTTCATTTGTGTTGAATCATGGTGATCCTTGGACCCCCCCTTCCCGTATTGAAGGCTTGACACGGTACAGTGTTAGCAAAGCCATCTCCGATGCCAACCAATCAGCGAGCGCACTGTGTTAACATAGGCTATACACATAATTACAACTAAAGCTTAAAGAATCTTAAAGAAACAAATTGAGATATTCAACGTCCTCATGAAAGTTCAACTTCAAGGGGAACAATGATGTACCAAATGCAAAGTCTATCTATATCTATTCATCTAATTATTCCTGATGTCTATACACACATATATCTTTAAGTGTGTGTGTGTGTGCAATTGGATATATATAATATACACTAGCATGATCTCTCAGGGAGATTCATCCTTTTCGATCCCATCCCCGCCGTCGCGCTTCATCCAGGGGACGGATGGGTCGAAAGATTCGCACCAGGCGCAGGACACGCAACACTTTTATCGGAAAGGTCAAACCTTCGTGCGTGATAGTCTGCACCTGGCCGCCGAGGCGCCGGTTTTGGCGCTTTGCAGTTGGCGGTGTCTGTGCTTGACGGAGCTTTCGAGTGAACCATGTTTAAAACTGGACGGAGTCCTGCGGCTTGTGATGTTCCATCAGTGTAATGAGAATGTGTTTGCATATGGCACATCATATATATGATATCATATGTTTGCATCAGGGTTGTCGTCGATATCGCTCGGGTGACTACGTCACCACAAACATTGACGCATAAGTACAATGGTTTTGACATGTTTTGACCGTTCAACATCATTCACCGGCAACTGGCCTGGAAGTCTTCAAGCTGCAACACAAAGGACTGACTAACAAAAGCGTTGCTGAGACTAGCTCAATCCCCATCTTACGAGATCTGAGGTGAAGTGCCGTCACAACTCCACCGGTGCGCCCCAAGTCCCCTGGCATGCGGGAACTGCAACGGTTTGGATAATTAAGTTGCAAGATTGCAAGGATATCAGGACTTGAACACCCTCCCGCTCAAATGCACCAATATGGAGCTCAGGATTTGGACTTGCCACCCCTTCCTACTTTAGAACTAAAGGGCACTCATTGACTCACTGGCTGATTCTCTACTCCACTTCCATCCACTTCTCAAATATCCCCATTTAATTGCCGGCCTGAACTCTAATATGGACCTCTTCAACTGTACAGTCTTTCAAATTGGCATGCTGCCATCACCCGGGTTGGAAGGTGGACTCGCGACGAACGTCACATCACGTCACGTCACCACGCGCGAGTTCGTCACATGGTCGTGTCAGCTTAGGCGCAATGATCACTTCCACCCAACCACACACAACAATTCCTGGCGCCGTGGCGGTATCCACGACCGCTGCGAGACGAACACATGGTGCTGCAACATACGACCGGTGGCACACAGCTTCTAGGGGGTATTAACTTTCATGATGTTCAATCCAAAAATCCAGAGACTTGAACAGTTGAAGGGGGCAATGACTTCGCATCACCCGAGGGAGTCAAAATGAAGTAGGGCTTTCCTTCAGCTAAGTTGCACTGGACTAAGAGAAACATAAACACGTCTATATTAATATTCCTCCTAAACAGGACTGAGTGATTAATTCCCATGCTACTTGCAACTTGCTACCATTCTTGTTACTGGGCTGAATCAATCATTATATAGATGGACATGAAGCTGTAGCTGCCCCTCAATGGCTGCATCCCACTGTGACTAGACCTCTGGAAGCAACCCATCCACCACCCTGATTGTTTGAGGGCGCCATCTGTCCGTGCTGTTTGTGAACCGAGTTGGTCCATTTCGTCAAGTCCAACTTTGTCAGAGTTCTTAATTTACAGCCTGTATGCCCAGGAGTGCTTCGAAGGTGTCTGAGCACAATTTTCACACAGCGTCCACTTACAACAAGCTCAGCGCAGCTCACCAAAACGAACTCCCGATAAGATACGTTTTGAGAGAAGTGTGGCACACCAATGCACTTGTCAACCACATAAACCACGTCTCCATCTGCAGCTACATTACTGACTAGCACCGGACCGGAAGGTGATGACCAATGAAACAAAGTTGCAACAAACATGGTGACATGGTCGCATAGTCACATTCATATTGTACCCTTTGAGTCAATTGAGCGGCACCGTATGAGAGAATAAACGTCTCCATTGAAGTAGTCGATTCAATATATCTCGCGTTCAATCCCTCTGACCACATGTATGCCTCTAGGGCTGAGGGTTGTCTTCGTGAGGTCCACGGTCATCGAGACTTTGGTGTCCGGACCGGGGGCACCACGGGCACCGGTAGACAAAAGCGACGGACGAAATCTCGGTTCTCCAAGGCTCCAAGATCTAAGAGCATCATCCAATCCTTCAGGATCGGCAAACCTGTTATTACAAGGAGCAACAGCACCTCCGTGCTATACAACGTCAAACCTCGGCCGGGCGGGTCCCCGAAAAGAAGGAAAGCAGGAAGCAGCAACAATTTCAGTTCTTCAACTCTTCAACAGGTGGTTCTGGTGCGATCATATTTGTGATGCTGCTGGCTGCTTGCTTGCAAGCAGTTTTAGTGTGTTTTAGTGGCCCATGTGCCCTTTCTTTAAGCTGTGGGTTCAGCATCTTGACCTATCCCAGCAAATTACTTCGAAGAAGACCCACTAGGTCAACCTGGGGGTCGCAGGACACTCGGCAGACTTCCTCTCAGGACACATCATGGCACATCCAAGTGTAGCACAGAATGAATGTGCCAGAGCCAATACCATCAACACCCATACAGTTTGATTCAATCAAGTAAGTACGGAGTTGCAGCAAATGTTCATCAGCCACTCTGAGGCTCGTCCCTCTCACCTTGACGCTTGTCCATGGCCTTCAGGTTCGTTTCTCGCAACCCAACCGTTTTCCCATGGCCCTGGTGACCAAATGGCATATGTCCGAGATGAGCAAAATTCCAGGGCTTGGTTGCCCCCCATCGGCTGCTCGAGCATCGATCTCCGAGCAGGTGCAGAACGTATCCACACAAACCTTCAGAAAACGGAAGGGATCATTGAGACTCCATCTTCAACCGCTGCATGACAACGGCGAATAGTGTTCAAGATTGTTCTAGTTTTCACCAGGTTTCTAGGTGGTCACGAGGTCGGGCTTCTGGCGTTTTTTTGGTGTGTCTTGGTGCCCTGATCCACCTTGCAGAAAAATGGACTCTGTCTCAAGGATGTGGACCAGCAAAATCAAGCAACCAAGAAAGTGTGAAACCCCCTCACCCCGGGTCACCCCCCCCCAAAAAAGCAAACAAAACTCTTGATGCACATGAATATGGTCATTCACCAGCGAATAGTCTACTGCGCCTTCTGGATCCAATACGAAATATCGCTCTCCACATTCACCGAATGTGCAGGTCCGGTCCAGTCTCGGACCATCATGCATGCACCCATCTTTCCTAAATACTGCATACGTTGTTTCTTCGTGTTTTTACTGTTCGCACGTTTCTAGATTCCTCGTGGGACATCATTGGACTGGAGGCTTTTACGTCTGAGACGTCAACTTGCGACAGCGGTCTACAGCCCAAGTAGGTCAATTCAAATTCTGATTTACCAACCACAATATGTCTTTCCGCACGCATGTTTTTGTCGTTTTGTAGCCAGGACTCCTGTACCTCTGGCGAGCACTGACTGATGAACAAACACATGTATAAGTTTTATGATACTATATAAGATATGACATTGACCGTGGCGGTGGCAACACCCCAAAATCTGTAATGAAGTCATCTGTTTGGGTATGTGCCGGAGTCAAAGGATTTCCACACCCATGTTCCCCAAAAAAACAAAGCGAACAAACAAACGTAAGCCGTAAGCTCACCGACGGAGAAAATGCTCTCGCACCACCAGAAGATCACTGGAATGCATCCACTATCCGGTCCCCAGTCTGATTCCATAAGCTCACCTGAAACGTATGGAGCGCATAAGTGTTCCTGTTTTTTCCTGTTTTGGGGGGTGGCTCAGCACAGCATCAGGGCCACTCCCGTGACTTCCCATCATCTCTTGCGACTGAGCCGCAATGACCGCCATGAGATTCGCGACCTCATGGCAGGCGAAGTGACTGTCGTGACCAGTGCGGGGCTGTCTGAAAGACAGGGGAAATCTGAACGTGCTCAGAGGCTCAATGATATGACATGATGTCCAACGTTTTGTGGCATTGATTGACCCGTCTGAAACAGCCCGCCACGCCGCCAGTTCTCCATGATGTCGGCATGCCGTCGCCAAGGCACATAATGGCTCATCATAAACGTTTTAAACTTCTCCCACCAACCTTGGATGTCACGTTGGAAGAGCCAAGCATTTCGAACAAAACCCAAACCAATCAAAGTTGTCTCCCCGCTTTCGCAGGTCTTTCGGCAACACCAGGTTGGCGTCTTCATCCCACCTCTCTTCTTTCCCGAGTGGAGAGGCGGGGCACCGCAAATGATCAGCCACTATCATGGATCCTGGAGACCGCCTGTCGGGAGTATCCTTGATGGTCATCCCCACTGGGTGCCTGCCTTCGCGACGTGGCGACGTGACGGTCCACGTCGCAGACCGAAGAATCACGCACCGACGTCTCAAAAAGGAACGCCGCCCCGGTCCGCACGCCTTTCTTCGCTCGCCTCATTTCAGCCCGGACACTGGAATTGCCTTCACTCACGTTGTAGGACTCATTGCGGATGAACTCGCCCGTCAGGCGTACCGGGTTGGAAGCCCGGCGTTGCACCGTCGCCATGGAATCTGCGTGGTGTGCGGTACCTGAGTGGGGTGAGCGCCGTTAAGGACAGGCGAATGGGGGAACCTCAGGACCATAGGCCAGGCCGGCTGCCCATGCTGGATTTGGTTGGCAGCCCCAAGATGTGCTATAAATGAATTAAGGAGCAGTTCAGGAGGGCTGGGGACAAAGAGCAAAGGCCATAAGTTCAAGAGAAAGTTGCGTTAATCATCGAACCAGTTTAAGGCGATTTAGGTAAGTAACACTGTAAGTAACCTTGTCCTGTGTTTCATGCGGCACCCCCTGGCTGGTTCAACCAATCTCTATGCAGTCGGTCTGAGATGGCGAGATGCAGAAAGCAAGCCCAATGGAGCCTTGACAATTATAAAGAGCACCAAACCATAGGTTGGAGGCCATCGCTAGTAAGTTGGAGGCCATTCCTATTTGTGCTTATCCCTGTTTACCACAACTGTCGATCCCCATCAGCTCGTGGTCGGCATGTGGGGAAGACCGGCCCAAGAAAGCACAACTGTACGATGATTGAAAGCATTCGGACAAATACCGATCAATGGGAAGACAACAGGGACGGACATCCAAATCAAATTTCCGAAGCACGACCCGGTAGTGTTCAGTCACCAGGGAGTGCAACAAAATGAGAGAACAATGTTTTTCATGTCCAGTTTGCACTTGCCTAGGTTATTGAACACGCGATGCCAAAACACGCAGTGAAAAAACAGAGTTTTGGTACGACATCGAGATCAGAAATCACTCAGTCAACACCTGGCAACGTTGGAACGTACAGGTGTTGCACTTTGGGCAACGGCTCCACTCCACGCCAAGTTGGACACTTAGGACACCAAGATAGGAAGCTTTTCACCCAACGCTAGTAGGTTGGAGGCCATCCCTGATAGGTAGGGGGCAGAGCGTTCATCCAAGAATCTTTTCAATACAGTATCTACTTGGGGCATCCAAGCCCGTTGCCATCCAACATCTTGGCCGTCACACTCAAAGACGTACGTTTCAGCGCCGAGTGGCACGGACCGCCAGTCCAACTATGTACAATAAATATACGAGTAGGACCCTATAAGTCGCTCTGTGGCCAACCAAACTGCTTCCAGGTAGTGGCCACAGCGCTAAAAAAAAGCGTGAAACCCAATCACTGAGCCCTTGAAAATGGCTGCAGTTGAACAAAAAAATATGCAATCCGCAAACACCAGCCTGAAGAGAAACAAATGGAACTTGGGACATCCTCCTTGCTGCACTTCTGACATCTTCTGACAATATAATTTACTGATTGTTTAAGGCTCGTGCTTGTCTGATGCACAAACCAGAGCGCTGTACCAACGACCGAAAACTGCTTGGAACCGACAAGGATGCGAAACCAAACTGGTCATACCACTGCCATAATGTACACGGCCTGCTCACGTTTTGTTCACCTCTTCTTTCCGTCTTGAGTCTGCTTCCAAGAACTTGGTGTGCTTGCTTTGAGGTGTTTCCTCTCACTCGAAACCTTGCACGATGCCGACCAAACCGTGCGCCTCTTGCCGCATTGCGAAAGGCCGATCTGGGCAGCCTGGGTGCTGAGCCAAGGCCAAGCCAACAAAACAAAATCAACAATTGGGTGGTTCTATCCTAAAATGCAATCAGCGGCACAAACCTGACCGCTCCCCAAATGACCTGTCCGTGCTTCAGTCTTCTCTGCCCTTTGTCAACGCTAATCAAGGGTCATTTGGGGAGCCTTCCTCGGGCTCAACCTTAAAATTTTCAAACGGAATTGTATACCGCCCAGAAAAAAACGCGCAGGTTCTGCACTTGTGACATGGACACTGCGTGACGGTCAGAACATGGGGAGTTGGGGTGGGGCCAAAGTAAATACGTCGGTATAGTTGCTCTGGACAGGAAGCGCTCATGGACACTGCTTGATACTCGCGTAGTTCTCTAGAACTAGGTCTCGGTTAGTGCTCGTGTAGTTCTAGGTCTCATCAGGAACGTACACATCTGATTCTGATGCGAGCAAGATATCGTCTGCAGTTGAAACTTGCCGCGCCGAGACCTTTTTGTTTCTCAAAGGCCATGCGTGGCCTCAGACCTCTGTGGGCGCGCTGAATTTGTCCCCCGTGTCGTTGTTGCGAGTTGGCCAGTTTGCAAACAGAACTTCTGGCCAATCTTAAGAATTGGCTTTTAGTGGATGTGTTTTATGTGGATATTCTATTAGCATCTATTAGCATTGTTTGTGGTCGTTCCGAGAACCCTTTGGTTGCAAGAGACATTGGTTTGTGGTGCTTGCCCTCGATCGTTGGCCGGTGTTGTCAGCGTTGGACGAGCAGAGCTTTTGAAGGTGCGTGAAGAATCCTTGATTGGGCACCTGTGTTGCTGTCGAACGCTTTCCACGCCATGTGGTAGCTCCTTGGCTTCTTCCGTCACTGCGACTCACTTCCGATTCTTGACACCCCGCATCACCGGAAGCGACCGGAAGTGTCTGGCCAAGGACATGCCATGTGTCAACCTGGAAATGCATTCACCCGAGGCAACCTACAAGACAAATTAAAATCTCCAAAACATGCACCGAAGAGGGAACCTTTTTGACAAGAAAATGCTGCAACGGTTACACGAAACAAAACATATATCTCAGATTTCTATCTGAAAAGGTTTGTTTCGCTGCAGCGAAACACCCGAAAATCACCAAACCATGGGGCGGCAATGACTCCGCCGGGTTTATAATATGTTAAAACATGTTGCAACATGTGCATGCGTGCAAGCAAAGGATGACAATGACTAGACTAGGATGAACGAACCTCCGACAGGGAACAAGTTGCAAACAACACAGCGCGGCACAGCACGCTGCCCGTGTGTCCACCATCTATGCTGAGTTTGAATTAAAAGGCATCCTTTGTACGATGTGTGCGATGCACTTATGATCCAGCGACAGGTCTTATTGCAACAAATGTCGCTCGCTCAAGTGTCAGTAACCTTCGCCAAAAGTCGTTGGCCAACGGACGTGACAACATTCGCCCTGATATATACATAGAAACATGAGCTCAAGAGTGCATACCGCATCTCTTTTCCCCTACCTCGAACAAAGTGTGCTGGCACATGCTAGAGCCTGCCATGCTACTAGAGCCTACACGTTTCAACCCCCACAATGTCCCTGCCCAACCATCCATTCATTTTGGGAGATAATATATACACGTATCATGCGTGTTGTGTACATAAATATGTTATAACTATAAATATGTATATATATATATATGTATATATTAACATCATGACGCATTGGTACCCATGCGCCCTTGGGTCCAATCCAACTTGTACACTGGTCCGCTTCGTCAGTCTAGGATTTATCCACGGTGCAGTGTGCACCAGGGGCCACGGGGCGAAGCTGCACCAGGACCCACCTCTCTTCGCCTCTTTTCCAACCAACGTGACGGCCACGGCGCTGACAAGAACGAGTCGGGCGACTGAATCTGCTCTTGGAGCCGTTGTTGTTCCAAATGTGGGTTTCCTTCAGCAGTTCCCTGGATCTTGGCCTTCATCGGGGGTTTCTTGAAGACTCTCTTATTATCTCTTACTTGAATCCGGGAAGCTGGCGCCGGGGTTCAAGTGGCATGGAGGATTTCCTCTACCCAAGGGATCTTCACCCCCTTGTTTTATCTTGTAAAAATTTTGTTTGGCAGTGATAAGCTCCATGCGCCTTCCACAGAACTTTTGGGCTACTTATATCAAAGGCTAAATGCAAACCATCAAAGGGACTTCAGGCAAGAAAACGCACTTTCTTTTGCGGTGACTGTCTACACTCCTGGAGCTTTGTGTGACCAAGATCTAGGTTCTGCATCATGTCCTCGCTTGGACACTTTGGCTGAGCCCTAGCAATCCTTGTCTTTGCCTTCGCACACCCGCACATTCTCGGAAACATCTTCTGCCGTAACAAGTCGGGAACACCTTCTTCCTCGGCTCACTTCGTCACCTGACTGGCTCATCAGGGCGCACAAGAGGGCTCGCTCAGCCGCAACTTCTCGAAATCGGACTGGAATTCCAACCACCTTGGTCATCTACATGACTTGCAACGCAAGTGGGTATGTCATACCAAGGTGATACCTCGGTATGTCATCTCTAGGGAGGTGCTCTCCTATAGCAGTTGGGTCCTCTGGGATGTACTCAGGTTGGAGACTATCATGTTGCCCTGGTCTCAACAAACAAAAATGCAAGCGTGAAATTATGCTGAGAGCATCAGCCGAACGAAAACCATTCGTCTCGGAAATTGGGACGTGAAGTTGCCTACGCTTCCACTGTGTTCTGACAACATTCACCCCTTGGAGTCCGTTACTTTCAGAGAGCAGGTCTCAAGCGCCGAAGGACGCAGGTCTCAGGGGTTCAAAGGAGTGGAGGCTGAGAGACTAAAACACCACCACACCCTCCCAGAGGTTCAGGAGTCTACTAGTACCTATTCAAGCTACAAGCGAACCAGGAAAATTGCTCCACAGACTTCAACATGGAACCCTGCTAGTATTGGGTCGGTTGTTTTTTTGTAGGGACCCTCTGGAGTCCTCAGTTCCAAAGCACTTCCATCGATCACACTTCATCGGTTGCAAGCTAGATCCAATGCGTTCGATAAAAAATGGAACGGAAACCAACTTCAATTGCAAAGCCACTTGGGGGGCTTTAAGCCAACTTGAGTGGCCATGAAGGTGATTAGGGACCCAGTTCACCACGAAACCCACCCAGTTCACCACTGATCCGACCGGCCCAAACACTGCTCACGGCTGGGCCGGAGCATCACATCAGCTGCGGCTTCACCTTGGCACGGTGAGTCCGTTGGAACAACGTGACAAGGGTTCACTGGGAAACACCTCGAAAGGTCGTGGACACCGCGAGCTCATGGCGTATACACTTATCTATGCAATTTCTCAAGTTCTGCAATGTTGCTTGGAATCCCACAAGTTTTATAAACTTGGCACGAGTACGTTCAGGCTTTAGCGTGCTGGATTGCCAAGGGCAGGGCGAATCACCATGAAATTGCCCAGTTCCAGATCGACACTCAAACCCATGGACCCCACCACTACCTATTCTCTGTGGTAACATGCGGAAGATACTTATTTGCGTCAACAGGATTTCCAGAGGCCATCCCTATTGGGTTGGAGGCGATTGCTATTAGGTGGGTGGCCATCGCTATTAGGTGGGAGGCCATCCCTATTGGCCTAGATATATGGGTTGGAGGCCATTGCTATCAGGTGGGGGGCCATCGCTATTAGGTGGGAGGCCATTGCTACGAGTATCAGGTGGGATGGCCTCCCATTGGTTGAAGGCCATTGCTATTAGGTGGGAGGCCATATCAGGTGGGAGGCCATCGCTAGTAGGTGGGAGGCCATCCCTATTGGGTTGGAGGCCATTGCTATTCGGTGGGGGGGCCATCGCTATTAGGTGGGAGGTCATCTCTATTAGGTTGGAGGCTATCCCTATTGGGTTGGAGGCCATCGCCAGGTGTTGCCGTCACGCACGTGATCTTCGGCCCGGCAGCAGATTGCATTGCAAAGATAGGCGTGCTCATCGATGCCAGCCACGTGAAATGATTCACCTTGGCCAACCCGAGCGGCCCGTGACCAGCTCGGATGTCCCGCTTTGCATGACGTGAAACCTGGTGCTGTGGCCCTCTCAGTGGCCTTCTGATGCAATCGAAAAGAGCAAGCTAGTCTATCTGGAGGAAGGCATCGAAGTGCAGGGTGCAGTGCAGGATTAACATGTTCTGGATGTTTTGGATGACACGTTCACGGCATGCATTCTCAACTGGGCCACTTGTGACACTAGTGATGCTTGTGTGGACTTTGTGCAGTGGCCAGCCCCGAGGTACTGGACACTTGATAAACATCTCCCGGAAGCCCCAGCACTCATCAAAGAAAAGGTCAAAGCAGCAAGGACAAAGAAGAGCCTCTGGAAAACTCGAAGTGACCTCAAGCTTTAGCTAATCCAAAGCCTCATGATGGGCCTCATGTTGTTATGTATGAGTATTATATCTGACACTATTAAGTGGAGGCCATTGCAAGTAGGTTGGAGGCCATCGCTACTAGAAACAAGAAGCTACTAGTAACAAGGGATCAAACAGTTTTGATAACATTCTTTTCGAGTAGCAACAAGCCATTAGGGTGGAGGCCATCGCTACTAGTAGCAAGAAACTCATGGGCCTCATGTTGTTATGTTGCTGTTACGTCCAAGGTGCGAATCTTAGTGGAGCTAAAGCTGCAAATCTCCCCC